TGGCGTATGTAAATATATCGGAAAGACTTGTTGAGGCCATATGTCTTCCAAAAACTGTCGCACTTATGATTTCTTGTTGTTCCAAATAACCTTGCCGTCCATCGGCCTCGGTTTTTAATTGCCGGTTTTGCCACTGGTACCGNAAATGGTAGTCTACGGTGCACATTTATCGGAAAGACCTATTAACTGGCATTCACGTTTTTTTGGAAAATTTATTTAATTTTTAAACAAAACTTATACTATTTCGGACACAGCTGCACCACTCTGTATATGCAAAATAAAGAGCGCCTCAAATCATTTTAATATTAAGGTCAGCAATTTTTCGTCATTTTGTCCTTTAGAAGACTCAATAAAATAGCCTTTTGACCGCACGAAAAGCACTTTTTGTTGTTGGTTGATACACCTGTAGAGCACAGCTGAGTACGATTTTTTCCGATTTTTTTTTTTTTTAGCCAGTCATACAGTTACTCACAAAAATGAGCTTACACAGGTTTTCATAAGAGAAATACACAAACTATGCAAAATTTAGTGAATGTATTTGAATTTTTTTGATGCCAATTTGAAGCTTGAACTATTATCGACTATATTTGAAGCTAAGTGAATTAATCTATTTAGCATTAAGAAAAACTTAAATAACAAACAAAAATTTTTGATTAATTCAGGTCACAAAATTGTGTATATACAAACATTTTATATGTGGCATCTCTGGATATCTTTTGTCCGTTAAGTGATCACGTTAGCACTGATTTACATTTCAAAGATTTTGTTGCGTGTTAGCCTTAGATTCGCAATTTATTGTTTTTTTTGTGCACCATGGCTGGTACCAGAAAGGAGACAACTATTGAAATAAGAGAATTAGTGCTAGACCTCATTGCACAGTTCAAAAAATTATAAATAAATGGAGATATGGAGGAACGTTACTAAATTCCGATGGGAGAGGCCGCAAAAAAATGTTGACTGATGTTGATGAACGCAATATTGTACGTAAGATAAGTATTCCTAATTTAACGGTCGAAGTGTCCAAAACTATAAATAAACCAATATCAACTGAAACAGTTCGTCGTATTCTTCGCATAAATAATTTACATGAACGGATAGCACGTATAAAGCCGTTAACCTCCAGTGTAAATAAAAAAAACGGCTTGAGTTCGCGAAAGCTCATGTTGATGAGCCTTTAAGTTTCTGGGAAAGTGTAGTTTTCACTGACGAAACAAAGATTAAAATTTGGGGATCTGATGGACGCCAAACAGTATGGAGAAAGCCAAAGACGGTGCTACGAAGTAAAAATTTAGTTGGCACAGTGAAATATGGTGGTGGTTCAGTTATGCTTTGGGGGTCTATGGGAGCTAATTGAGTGGGCACCATTCAGTTTATTGAAAGCAACATGACCAAGGATATTTTTTTCAGTATATTGAAGTCTAATTCAAAGCTTCCGTCAGTGTTTTGGTTCCAGCGATCCAAAACATACAGCGATGATAGTGAAGAATGGTTACTTTATAACGCCCCAAAAAAGTTTAAGACTCCTCCACAATCCCCCGATATGAACCCCATAGAACATTTATGGGGAGAACTGATATCCAAGCTCCTCATTCCAAAGAAAACTTAAAAAGGAAATTATCAGAATATGGGGCGAAATATCACCTAATTTTCCAAAAAAAAAACTAGTGGACTCGATGCCTCGGAGGATGCAAGCTGTAATAGATGCAGCTGGTGGACCCAGAACCACAAATTAAATAAAAAAATAAAAAATAAGTGAATTAAATTGTTTTTTTCCATGAAGTGTATGCTACATTTTGTAACCTGAATTTATCAATAATTTTAGTTTATTGTCTAAGTTTTTCTTAATGCTAAATAAATTAATTAATTTTGCTTTAAATATAGTCGATAATAGTTCAAGCTTCAAATTGGCATCAAAGAAAATTCAAATACATTCACTAAATTTTGCATAGTTTGTGTATTTCTCTTACGAAAACCTGTGTATACAAATTTTTTTGAGTAACTGTATATGTATACGTGTATACTGTGTGAATGATTAAGCATGAATCATATCGCCAATTTCCCCAGCATGCTTTTAGGCATTACTTTTTGCTTCTTGTTATTTGAGGTATTTATGCATAGATGTATATGCATAAGTGCAATTCTCAGGTGAATAGTGAAGCAATAAACTTAAAGCGGCTATTAGATGCTTAGCTCGCTAAGTGACTGGTACATACTAGCTATGCATTATTTCACGCTTAGATGTTTACCAACACCAGAAATTCCAAAAATTCTACGTAGCACTACCTGGTTCCACTAATTTTGAAAAGGCATGTCACTCAATAAATTCTCAAAGCAACAAATGGAATGGTCAATCCGCTCCGACTCCGAATTTTTCACTCGGTGCTCACCCCTGAGTTACACCCAATTCATAAATAGTGTGTAAAGAGGAATGGTCAATCCGCACTACCTCTAATTTTTTCCTATGGAGTTCACACCCGAACTTCATTACATTTAAGGGTATTAATTTACATCACCTTCTCTACTTCTCAACGTCCTCTTGAATGGTCAATGTACAGACCAATCACATGCCTTCCGGTTATCTATAAAATACTAAGGGCATTCATATCCTACATCTTTTATGAGCACATTGAAGCAAGCAACTTGATTGCAGAAGAGCTGAGAGGTTGCTTAAGATCATCACGGGATGTAAATAACAGCTGTTTATAGACCCAGTAGTACTTGGACAATCTAAAAAGCAGAGCAAAAACTTCCATGCAGCTTACATCGGTTGGAAGCCCTCACTATTGGCTTATCGAGATGATGCATTTTTTCATATTCAATTCCAATTCAATAAAAAAATTTGAAGTGTTGGAGAACTCGAATTAAATTGCCACGGTCTGGAACTTCTTAGTAAACGAGTAATATAAAAATCAGTAATGAAATCTTCCAAGGTGATTCTTTAAGTTCACTCTGATTCATCATCAACATTAACCCCCTCAATCATTTTTGACAGAATATTGGATACGGATATTTGGTGAAACATGGATAAACTTGAAAATGCCGATTGAGCCATCTCTTCTATGTGGATGATCTGGAGCATTATGGCGCCAAAACAAACCGTCTTGAAGAGCTTTGGGAATGTGCCGTATCTTTCTCCAATGGCATTAAAATGCATATTGGTCTCAGTAAATGCCGCTAAACCACTATTTTAAAAGGAAACGTGATCCCATGGAACAATCCTATTGAGCCTAGTCGCCTTGATATAAAAGAAATAGAATAAAATAAAGTATCTAGGAGTAATGTAAAGCAAGATAGTTCTGCTTTATGAAAAACTCAATTAAAACTATGCCTGTGATGTCGTATTGCTTCGGACTTATTAAATAGTCAACAATCGAGCTGGAAAATATACACGTACAATTCATACAGTCATTTCAAAATATAATGCCAATCCCAAGTATTCGGTTTTTCGAACGACATTGGCCTTGAAAATATGGCGGAAGGAATCAGATTGACATCAGAGCTCTTCATGACAAACTTATTTTGAATATCCGAACATATTTTCATAAAAAGTCATCACATACTGAGATCCATCAGGCCGAAGAATCCGCTGATGATAAATATACTCCGCTACGAATGAATCCGTGGAACGATAAACTTCAGATATAGTCTGAAATGGTAGTCTACGGTGCACATTTATCGGAAAGACGTAAGTCTATCAAAAGCTGTTGCACTTATGGCTCACAAAGAGAGCAATACTCGCCGAAACGAAAGGTACCATTTTTACGATGCAGAATGGAGTCGTTCCCACCAGAAATTCTATCTAGTATGTAATTAGAGACATAAATGCTCCGGCAGAGAGATTTTGTAGATGTAATAACAGAAGCGAANAAGACCACTAAAAAAAATCCAAAAAAAGTCGGCGTCTAAGATTATGACTACCATTTTCTGAGACAGTGAGGGATTATTATTAATCGGGTTGCGAGCGATGCTTTTAAAGTTACGGGGTAGGAAGATTTTCAGACGGCAATGAGATATAAGTGGGCATAGAAACCCGTTTTGAATAGAAATCTCGAGAACCGTATTCAAGATTTGAAAAGGGTATTTCACTTTAGGGAGACTATACTGAAAAATAAAAAAACCTAAAACTATAAATTTTTTCATTTAGAACTTATCAGCCGCCCTTCGTACACTTGGACAGCTTGATAATTAGCTATTGGTAAAATAAATTTTAATAATTTTGGATGTTTGTCGAACCAGGCTGCGCGCAATGCTTACCACTCGACTCCTGGTAATTATTTATACAATTGCCATAAATATTTTGTTATTCAAAGTTAGGATGGAAATTAGCATTTATTGAATATTTATCACACAAGCGTTTGTTATTGTGTATTTGAGATAAAATTGTTTTGCGCATGTATTCATTTCGCTTGATTCGCTAATCAAAGAATAACATTTATGTTTTTAACCTTGTTATATAGTATGTACGTATATCTCTAAATTATATTGTCCGTTATTTAATAAACTTTATTTCGACTACGATATTAAAATATTAGGGTAACAACAAAAAGTTCACGTATTAAACGTTAACGTTTTTTCTAAAAACAAATTCTCCTCGGCTGGATATGGCAATCCTTTCAAGAGTATTTTCGGTTTATAAGTAAAGCTCCAAATGCATATGTATCTACTAGCCGTTTGTTAAAAAAAAAAAAAACAAGACAATCATCACAAATTGAAGAGAAAATCGACTGAAGCCGATGGAAAAAAGTCACAAATCTTATTTGAAAATTTTCAGCGATACAATTAAAAATTCAAAATAAATATTAAAAATAAAAATGTAAACAGACATACAGAACATAAACAAACATTTTGACTACCTTTACACTGAAGCGAATTGATTAAATGAAAAAAGTTGAATTTTCGCCTTAGTAACTCCACGTTGTCATATTCAGAAAATATGGTGTACCACTGAACATACCCATTGAGATATTCGCTCAACAGAATTCATACGTCTGTTATCATCCCTTTATTTATTTAACGCCGATAATTCTCTTTCAGCGACTTGTAGTAAACAAAAACAGCTGATCACAATAAAAATATAACAAAACACTTTTATTAGCAAACGAAACTTTAAGAATATTTTCATAAAAGAATGTCGCTTGGCTACACATTTCTTGGTTGTCCATTTTTAATGAATATCGATAACAAAGAAATACTTTACGAGGTGCGCTTGTGTATATTTGAACTTTTATTTATAACTAGCTTTTATACTATTTTCATAGATACTAAATTACTCCATTGATGTACTACTTAATAATAGCGATGAACATCAAATGGAAAAAAATTGTCATAAGTATGGATTCCAAAATGTACACGACTTCATGTTGATGACACGAAAAATTGCACGCGCCTATAAGACTTATTATGAAAATGAGAATGCCACAGAAGCGGACCTACTATATGAATTCAGTAACCTAAGTCCAGAACTCCAACGTTTAGTGCCGGCCGTATATGAAGCACGTAAATCGGAAATTGAAAAGTATATGCTACAGTTGCAGAATGCTCAGGAAAATCCTTTGGTGTTATCATTCGACTACGATGCACGCGTTGTACTTGGTGACAGTAGTTTCGCACAAAATTTTCGAGAATTAGTACGGATATATTTTAATTGTTGTGACGCAAATGGCAAATTGAGTAAATTACATTTTGAAATGGATTCAAAAAAATTGAATGAATTTATTGCTGTTTTAGAAGATGCCTTAGGTAAAGATGAAAATAAAAATAATCTTGCACATTCCTAAATTTATAATTGATGTTTATTAACTGATATTTGTGTATTCAAAGAAAATTACATGTAAGCTAATATGTACCTATGCAATGGATATACTTCCGCTCCAAAACAATTTTTATCGAATGTAGGGGTACCTACTCCAAACAAGCTTTGTCCTAAAATATTTTCATTACCCCATTGTGAGTTTAGATTCGTTATAAAGCTCGATTTATTTTACAATTGAAGGAGAAACCATACCCGAAAATTAATATTCAAATTAGGGCTGAAGGGAGGGAGATTTCTATTGATTTTCAATGAAACAAAATACCATCCCGTTTTATGTTGAGAGAAAATTAAAAACATTTTATTTTTCAAATCTAACAAGTACCTTTTACTTTATTTTATCTTCATTAAAATTTACTTTACTATGTTTTTGCATGGTATAAATACAACATATGCATATGAGTATATATTTTGTAATGTATGAGGATAGAGAGCAGCAGCTCTGTGGTGTACTTTCTGAATATTTTTACAATATCTTAGTGCATAAAACAAGAAAATCCATTTCTGAACAACAAATTTAATAGTAACAATATTCTTATCGATGTAAATTAAATACTATAAAAACAAAGTGTTCCCTTAAAATACCAGCAATGAAAAACCTATTATTATAATGTAGTGAACATTTTATCTTATTGCGATATCAATTACGAATGCTTAAGCTTTCGTAATTTTTATTATTTTTGTTTTTTATATGTATGTATGTATGTATGTATGTACTTATATATATATTTATTTAGCAAAATGAAAAGCCAATCATCCAATTCCAAAGTGGTGCTGTTGCGTGTCTTAGCGCATGGTTTTGGCTCGGTTGCACGTAAATGCTTACTCAACTAACCCCAGCTGAGAGATACTGATTTTTGTAGTAATAAGCGCAAATTCCAACCAGAATAGAGAATGCTGTTGTTACAATCATTGATTTTGGTGTAAGCATTTGTGGTAACCATTTCGATAGGTTGTTGCTACCGTTACGAGCATTACGTGCAATTTGCTTTCTTCGCTCTTGAATACGTCTCTCTTCAATTTGTCTTTGAAGCTTTCTACGATTGGAAACATAATTAATTTTGCACTAATATAACTATAAGACTATTATCAACTTACTCTTTTCGTACAAGCTCTTCAACATGTTTTTCAATTACGGTTAAGGAGTATTTATTATACAAAATACTTGATGTTTTTAATAGCTCTTCAAAAGGTAAATCATCAGGAAGCTGGAATTGAGGAAACGTACAATATTTCGAACATATCCAAAAAATATAGAATATTAATTGAAAAAAAAATATTAAATTAAATTTTTGAATTGCTGCCGAGTGTATTTATAACATGAAATAAAAGCTCCTCATAAAAACCATCACGCTTTCGCAACAAGCACAGTATAAACTGTAGTTGGAGGAGCTCGGCCAAAAATACCTTCAGCTGTTACAAAGCGCCAATTATATAAATTTACTATTACTTACCTTGGAGAGTAGACAGTGCACTGAAGCCATGTCACAGTCGGCCTTTAGTAAATCTTCAGTTCGATGTAGTATTATAGCAGCGGTAACAAATATGGGCATATAAATTGGCGATGCCAAAAAGTAGTCATACAGACGGACCACATCTTTGTATGAATTTAAACTATGGCCAAACCATGTTAGATACCAAGGCAACGCAAAAAGTGTACCAACTGCAGATTGTTGCAAAAATTTAAATAATTGCGGATTTTCAAAATCTATTATTGGCCATATGAACATCAGACGTTTTTGTGTCGCTTCCATTGTCTCTTGCATACATTCTGAGAAATGATTAGTTGATAATTCTTCCATAACCGCAAATGCTACTTCTTCCCCAACGACTAATAAAAATGTTACAGCCACGTCATGATAACCTTGGTAATAGCGTAAATTCGGATACTTTTTTATCACACGTAATATTAAAACAGTTAACTGATCTTGTAATGCAATACGTTGTTCATATGGAATGCCAGGCGGAAATCGTTTAAGAGATCTATTTACATCAAGCACCACTTGTTGGTATTCTGGATGCGTTTGTAAATCCATTAGACTTGGGGCAGGATCTAAGGAGGTGGTATCAACACCAGCTAATTGTGGCCATAATAAGCGACGTAATTCATCTGTGACTAGGCCGTGGTCGGATCGTGCAATTTCCTGTAATATTTGAATTGGTAAACAACCATTGAATTCCTGTAGTAAGCGCTCGATTTCCAATCTTTTCTCTCGTTCCTCATTACTTTCTGGACCTATAGAAATAACCACTTTTTATATAAGATAAATGCTCGATATATATACTTGTTCTGGAACACTTACTTTTCTCAAAACACAACTCTTGTGGTTGATCGATTTTTATTTCATCGTCCTGTTCGTCACCACTCATAGTGCTCGACATTCTGCCTACTAGTTTTCTAAAATTTTTATTTTGTATAAGGAAAAAACTGAAATATGTTACTGTTCACATTTAATAAAGCTGAAACTCTTTTGTTAATTCATTGCAAACATGACGAATACAATATAAATTTATTTTTATTTGCAGGGAAAATGAAAACCTGTCAGAGAACGTATAATATATATGTTTTACGTTCTCTGAACCTGTGAGCTGTCATATAGACGTTATGATGCCACACTGTAACTTTATTAATTTTTTAAACTTACCACCTAATTCTTCTAACGATTTCGCTAAATAACCTCTATGATCTCTCTTCATCCAAGTTCGATTTGTATACTATTTCTTAGTTGTAAAGAGCGTAATTAACGCAATAAAAAATCTCGATAAAGAACATTCGTTTAACGCGCTCTATCTAGAGCATACTTTAGTTTAGGCGTCCCCTACTGACTTCAAATTGGTATTTGGCACTTTCGCCATACTGTTCTCCACGTAAGTCTGATCCTCAAAACGCTGCGAGTATCTTCAAGAGGTCATATTGTTTCTTGATCTGCCAATGGTGTGGATTCGATACACCATTTCATTTAGCCATTTGTAACTTCATACCTGCCATTTCAATTGCAATCTGGGAAAATTTACTTTCTTTCTTTCCTCTCGTTCAACCTATTCATGCACATCTCTCAGCTCCTTTTTCCGGAAACCCGACGTTTTCCTATTATTTCCGTGAATATACTCTTTCTGAAGAAAGCACTTGATCAGGAGGACTTCTTCATGATCAAAGCTGGAGGGTACATTTATATTACCACACTCCATAACTCTTTTCTTTAGGTCAATCTATATTTCTTGACCAAAGATGAGAAGGAACTTCCCCATTATGAATTCATATGTCACTTCTCTTAAAACCACGGTGTTCTCACTAGTTAGCGTCTTCTGCAACCGGCAATAGGTTTACCTATATAGCGATCAAGTGGTGCTCGCTCTTGTTCATCCACGTATCGACAAATTGTAACATTGCCAACTTCTGTATCAATTTTCCAGACAGAGTTTATGGCGTTTTCAGGACCTCTATAATGATATCTGAACTTTTCACTTCTAAATAGTTTGCTTTGTAGGCTAGTCCACACAAAAGTGCGATCATTTCCCGTTTGACAATTTTCGCAAATGTTGACCTCGAATTCGCATACGTCTCCCTAATTTCGCTGTCTCGTCCGGTTTTTGCTTAGGATACATCGCAATCATTAATCTCAATTTCCGGAATCGTCTGCAAAATTTCTGCTGCATGTTCATTCATCGCAAAGAACAGAGCAGCGGATTCTACTCAATACTCCGGTTATTATTTATTGCCGTCTTTTCGAACTGAAGTTTAAGGACCTAAAAATGGAGTGTACGTGGTTGGACGATTCGTCTGAAAATCTGGGAATCGATCTTCCAGCTTGTTGACTTAGGTCTTAATTGTTTCCTTAATTAGATCATCTATTTTTTCCTACAATGATTTTCGTTAAATAACCTCGATGATTTCCCAAATGCTTCGAATTCGATCATTGGATTGTTAAGGAAAGTGAGTAAATAAACTACTTATTTTACAACTCTAATACTCTTTACACCTTTTTAATTGCTTATTCTCCTACAAACCTACTCACTTTACCTATTTGATGTGATTTTCAGCCGGCTGAATGACTCCTAATCAGTCTTCTTCTGTCGAATTCAATGAGTATGTGCACTGGTGTTTCTGGTAATAGCTCACAGAAGCCACAAGCTGCATCAGAACTGATTGCGATTGAGTACATATGTTTACGCAGTCTTTAATATCCCGTAGAAAAACCTTTTAGTGTTCTTAAATTATTCTTACTAAGTAATATTATGTTTTTAAAACTTATGGTATTGTAGCCGTCTATAAGTATCCTTGATTGTCATCCTGACAGAAGTGTACCAGTACCTTTTCTTATATTCATTTCTTCCCTTCTCATATCCTCCTTCATTGAGTGAGGACCTGAATGGAAGAAGGGTTCTGGTTCCGTAGGCCAGATTGAGGCGGCTCCTCTTGCAAGTCTATCTGCTATTCAGTTAGTTTCGGTCGCCCACTTTATTAAGATTCTCGACACATTCCCATGCCATATACAACTTAATTTTACATGAAGTTATTGCTTTCAGTGTGGCCTGTATGTCACTGTAAATTGCTGCATGTTGGTTAACAGACTTCCTTTTTAATGGCGAACACCACTGCTTGAAAGTTGCTGTTTTATCTTTGTTCCGGGACCTGTGGTTCCCGCACCAATTCCATCTGTAGTCTTTGATCCATCTGTGTACCACACCTGCGAGTGTGGTTTTATATCTTTCTGCTCCTGTATTTGGTTCCATGATCTATTTTCCCCTAGGGATATATTGAATTTGGCATCGGATCTTGTTATCTTTAACATTTTCTGCTTGATATGATTTTCCCTTTCCTTGACCTCTGTTCATCAATGTGAAAAAGCGTAAAATTAAGCTACTGTAGAACACGTTCTCAAGCATCACGTTAAACAGACGCACGGTAATCTTTGTAGTTTAGCCATTGCAACTTTGGCTATAATCTTTAATCTAGCTCCTTCTGATCCATATGTGATTATCATATATTCTATGTACCTTTTGCAAATGTCAAATATTACTGCCAGATATTTGGTTTCAAAGATGGGTTTTATTACTATATTGTTTAGTCCTAAGACTTTCAGGTTTATTCCATTCCATTTAGTAAATGAAAAGATTGTTTAGCCCCGCTCTTAACCCCCTTTCCTCGCCAATGTGAGTGCTCTCTTTATAATGCCACACAGTAGGTTCTGGAATTTACACACCACTATTATTACGATATCATCTGGGTATCCTTGAGATTTTATACCATTGCTTGTTAAGAGCTCTAGCAGGTCATCAACTACTAAGCTCTATAGGAGTCGTGGTAATACTCTTCCTTTGGACCATACCTGTATAGTGTCCATCTGCCTGCGACTGTCTCTGCTATGCTATTGTTAAACAAGAAGTTGATCCAATTTCTAATCGGCTCCTCAACTCCTTTCTTACGAAGGGCTTTGCCAACTGTTTCATGCGATGTGTTGTCAAAAGTTCATTCGATGTCTATGAAATCGTATATTGCGACTTATTTGCTGTCAATTGCATATTTTAAGATTTCTGATAATTGATATAAAGCTGTGTTAGTTGGTCGGCTCTCTCTCTCTCTACGTATACGTATGCATTTCTTATATTAGTTATTCTTATATAGTTGTCGATAATCTTTTCCATGGCTTTTAAGTTAAGTTTAAGATTTGGCTGCTGTATAATCGTTTTTGCCAGGTTTGGGAACGAATTTAATTATGGCTCTCCTTCATGCTATTGGTATATATGATAATTCCAGGCTAACTCTCATGATATGCACCAGCACTGATGGTTATGGTAGGCAATATGCTTATGTTGATCCCACCATGTCTGTCTTACCTCACATTCGTGTTAGGCATTTTCCCCATGCACATTAGTTGACACGTAATTTTACTGGTTCTAAGTTACATAATTATTCATGGGATGGCAAAGATATGTTTTGTATATAAAATATTTTGTTATGGTATCAGTAATTGGAACAATATTTCCGAGAAGTATTTAGATTTGGTAGATAAAATTTCAGTCCTTTCTAACTGCCAGCAGTATAAAAACCGTAAATGTAAGGATTTCTCCTAATCATTTCTAAAAACATTCATCATTCCTTTCTCTTATTAATTTAATAGCTTCGAGCCCAGGTCAGAGCATTATCTAGACAATGTTACAGCAGTGTGGCATGAAACAAAGCCGCACGTAATAAAAAACCAGGGAGGTGTCCTTAAAGATATTTCCAAGTGTAAAAAACTTCTGTCGTGCGGTATTAACTTTTCTTGTAATTTCGTTTTTTATTGGTTCTTTGGGGATATCGAATTTAATGTGGGGCAAGTACTCATAGCAACTGCTCCCGATTTTCGTGATTATCTTCTGTTCCTCGGTGGTATCAACCTGATAGATTATTGTATGAACGTCTCATGGAAACAATAAACTCTGGTGAGGAGACCGTGAAAGTGTTGCTATTTGAGTTTGAGATATTATCTTAGTTCAAAAATACTTTCTAGATGATCTGGTCTTCCTTGTATACATGTTTTAGAGTTCCAGTTACTCTAATTGATAATCTCGGTCGGAACCAACGCTCACAATACAGTGACAAATTAGTGAACAATATAATTGGATATTCTAGAAAGTTTGCGATTAAGGTTGGGGAAGTGAATACATGCAACTCTTCGCCACCAAAATTAGGTCATCTCTCATATTCTTTAGTGCGTTTCGCTGTTGCTGATTTTAAATTCCATAAAAATTCTGTTCGATGAAAAATTTCAGAAAGAATTGGCCAGTAACGAAGTTAAGAGGGCAAAAAGTATTACTCTCACAAATGGGGGAAATTTACTCAGTTTTCACCGAACAAGATTCAAAGGAAATTTGCTAAGAAATTGTGTACAATTCATTTCTTTTAAATTTTTTCATAATTGTGTTAATAAAATTGGAAATATTTTGAAATTTTTAATTTATTAATTGTGTTCAAAAATTATTGTATTGCAACAATGATGTTATTCTATATGCTTCATAATAGTCAAACCACAAATATACATATATTTAAATAATTTTGTTCTACTAGACAGGAAGAATAATTGAAATACGAAAATAAGTTTAGAAATATATTTCTATATGTGCCGGCAGTGTTAACTGAACGTTAAGAATTCCCTATATTGAATAAAAATCCAAGCATATTCTGCAAGAGTTTCCGTTTTCTGTTTAAATGCGACTGACATTTCATTTTCGGCAGCTTATTGACAAACCTAAATTGGAGCATTCGGCGTTGCGTTTACTAATGCCAATGGGTAGCAAAGCGCCGTTATCACCTTAATTCACCACAACATATATATGTATATAAAATTTGCGCTTTGTAACCGCGGAAGCGATTTTTCGGCCGAGCTCCTCCTCCAACTTGTGGTTTTGCGTCTTGATGTTTTTCCCACAAATGCAGGGACCTGCAGTTTATATAATAATTTTTTAAAAGAAAGTAAATGCATTTTTAATAAAACTTAGAATGAAATTTAATCAAATATATAATTGCCATTTTGTTCGATAACCTTTTGCCATCTTCCTGGCAAATTTAGTATTCCACGCTCATAGAA